AAAAAATATTTCCAAAATAGAAAAGCTTTGTGAAAAGCCTTCGTGTCCTCATCCGGAGCTGTGCACTGTTATTTTATGATTCATTCAATTACTAAATATTGTTGAATATGAGCTATGCACAAGACTTGTGCCTATGGTAATGTAAAAATTTCCATTTCCATTCCATTTCCCCCCACTCACACACTTAATTTGCTCTTTATGTTATAATTAACTACAGATATCTTTATTTTAGGTTATTATTTATATAACTCCGCATGAAACAGCATCCAACATTGAATCAGAAATGAAGCAACTGTTTTTTAAAAAAAAAGCAAGTGTATACAAACATACAGTTGTGTAATTTTTTGAAAAAAAATTAGGAATGGTCGCAAGGGAAACAATTTTGTCTTCAATTAAACCATTAAAATAGAATAATCTAGCCGGGTGCTGGTGGCTCACACCTGTCATCCCAGCTACTCAGGAGGCTGAGATCTGAGGATCACAGTTCAAGGCCAGCCCAAGCAAGAAAGTCTGTGAGACTCTTATCTCCAATGAACCACCAGAAAACCAGAAGTGGCACCGTGGCTCAAGTGGTAGAGTGCCAGCCTTGAGTGAAAGAGCTCAGGGACAGCGCCCAGGCCCTAAGTTTAAGCCCCAGGACCAACCAAAAAAAAAAAAAGAAGAAGAAGAATTATTTAGAAAACAATGGTGCTGTGGACAAAATCCTAGCAATATCCTTCATTTAACCCTTGGGTTGAGTCCAAAGGGCTACATGTAGTTGGGACTGCCCCTGACCTAAAAGCTTTTATTTATTTATGTATTTTTTGCTAGTCCTGGGGCTTGAACTCAGGGCCTGGACACAGCCCCTGGGCTTTGGTGCTCAAAGCTAGCTCCCTACCCATTTGAGTCACAGCTCCATTTCTAGGCTTTTTGCTGGTTCATTGAAGGTAGAGTCTTACAAACTTTCCTGCCCAGGATGGCTTCGAACCATGATCCTTAGATCTCAGCCTCCTGAAGAGCTGGGATTACAGGCGTGAACCACCAGCGCCTAGGGTAATACTCAGTATGTTTTAAATCTCTCTTTCTCTTTTGCTTTTATTTTTGAAGCAACTCTGCTTATCAAGGCTTAATACTTTTTCTCCAAAAGCAGTTCATGAAATAAGCAATTGAATAGAGAGAATAGAAATATGAAAAATACTATAAAAGGCAGACGTTGGATATGAGTTTCGGTGTGAGTTGCGTGCCAAAATAAAATATAGGGTGATAAAATTGGAAAATGTGACAGGGAATAATTCCATGGAGAGGCCAAGGAATTGGATCGAAAATTAAATTCACTAACGATTCTTATGCTAACTCCAAGGTATGGAGATTCAGTGGTAAGGAGATATAATTCTGCATCTACCTGAATGAAACAGATGAAAACCTATATACAATTACAACCTAAAGCAGACTCGGACAAAAATATGCTTACAGAGAAAAAGGGCATTCTTAAAAGAGCTTAAGAAAAATAGATTTTAGCTGGGTGTAGTGGCTAATGCCTATAATTCTAGCTAGATAGGAGGCTCTTTTTTGTGCTCAAGGCTAGTGCTCTACCACTTGAGCCACAGCTCCACTTCCAGGTTTTTTTGTGTGTGTGTGTGTGTGTGTGTGTGTGTGTGTGTGTGTGTGTGTATTTGGTTCTCAATGATAGATCAGAGTCTCACAGATTTTCTGGCTGGCTTCTAATCAGGATCCTCCAATCTCAGCCTCCTGAGTAGCTAGGATGACAGGCTTGAGCCATGGACGCCTAGCCTAAGATAGATATTTTTAAGTCACTTGTTTGAAATAGGCCTTGTGGGAATAAATCTGGTTAAAAAAAAAAAAAATCAAGATTCAGAGCTAATTAAAAAAAAAATCTCAGAACAGCATATGGTCAGACTATAGACTTCTCAATCATTATATAAACATTGAAATACCACAGCTGGACGTACGGACAGTGGCTTTCTTACGTCATGGCGATATTAAAGAGACTTTAAAAATGGTAATGCTGGCATAACTCTTAACAGCTCTTTCATTTTTCTCGCTGTGTTCTACATCCACTGACCACTGATATTACGGGCGAAGATTTCCTGCTAGCTATTCATTGATTTTTTTTTTTTTAAAGAAAAACGCATATGTTTCCAGAGATTGGGTAAGAGATGCGATGTCAAGCAGTAATCATGGTAAAAATGAACGAGTAGAATGCCAAGCAGAACACAAAACAAAGGAAGTGATGTTATTGGGTTTTCTGTCTAAGCAGAGATGGTCAAGCAAACTATAGAAGCAATTAAGACTCTCCATATTCTGCTTTTGGTGATTTTTTTTTTTTTTTCACAGAAGACAGAATGGCCTGCAGGAATTTGAATTCTGTGAACTATGGTTTTTAAATACCTATTCCTCCACCTCCGGTATCTGACTGGCTGCAGCGAGCTTTGGCCAAAGGTCATTTCCTCTTCAAGCCCTTAAAAGTGGAGACAAGATTATTGGCCCATTTGAATTCCTGGGAAGATGTACGAGATAATTCGCTCTCCACCAGGCCTCCAAAACTGCTCAAAATAAAAGGTGCTATCAGAATAGCAAACAGGACAATTATTGTGGAATTCTGCTAGTGGCTGGAATGAGTGAGTCATGTGGCTCACGAGATACATCCAAGAAGCAGAGAAAAGGCCAGGTTACACAACGCTTGAGCCATGCTAAGATCTTTGTTTTTTTTTTATCTGTTTATTTATTGCCAGTACTGGAAGGTTTCAGCCACAGCTCCACTTCCAGCTTATTTATTTATTTGTTTTAATTTTTTGTGTGTGTGCAATTTTGGATGGTTCATTGGAGAATAGAGTCTCACCTACTTTCCTGCCTGGGCTGACCTCAAACCTTGGTCCTCAGATTGCAGCCTCCTGAGTAGCTAGGATGACAAGCTTCAGCCCCCTGGATATATATTTTTTTAATTATTGGGGTTTTTTTTCCTTTCAATTTTTTACTGTGATAATAAAGGCAATGTGCAGAGAGGTGACAGTGACATCAATCAGGTCACCAGCACATTGCTCTGTGGACTTTGTCCCTCCTTCCCTTACTCTCTCCCCCAACTTTCCCTCCCGTCCCCACCCATGAGCGGTAGAGTTCATTCTCCACGTGGTGTCCAGTGAGGACCACGGCTGCCTTGGTTTCCCCTCTGTCCCCCCCATTTCTGTATTCCCCTCACCCTCCCTGAGACAGAGAAACCCACCCACGAGACAAAAAGAAATAGAAACCACATAGAAGACCCCTTGGGTCCATTTCCTGGAGTCCATTTCTATATTATTTTCTATAATCAGAGGCACAGAGGCCTGGTGCCTTTGTGTTCCTCCCCAAACAGCGTCCCCCTTGGGTCTGGCTGTGTGTGGATGTCCAGAGTCCCCGGTCATCCATCCTGTCCCCATGTATTTTAGATCTAGCTTCTGCACAGGAGAGAAAACATGGCGCCATGATCTTAATGGCTGGGAAATCTGCTCTTGTTCAGAAAACTGGGGAAGACGGATGGAGACAGTTTTATTTATTTATTTATTGAGTACTGCCTTGTGAAATTACTCCAGAGCCAGACTGAATCCAGGCTTGTCCATTTATTACCATGACCCAGAGCAAATCACCTTGGGCTCTTTAGACCTCATTTCAAGTAGTTTCTATTGCTGAGTGTGAGTGTGTGTGTGTATGTGTGTGTGAGTGTGTGTGTGTGTGTGTGTGTGTTGGTCCTGGGGCTTGAACTCAAGGAAGGCCCCAAGAGCGCTGTCCCTAAGGCTTTTCATTCAAGGCTGGTGCTCTACCACTTGAGCCACAGCTCCACTTCAGGCTTCGGCTGGTCAGTGGGAGACAAGGGTAGACAAGGGTGGACATGCACCCTGCTACCCCAGCAGACGTGCTTCTTGAAGGGAAGAGGTGATTTTTCATGAACCCCCCCCCCTAGGACCTAAGGGACCCAGGAAAACAACAGAAAACTTGTTTTCCTTCAGACTGATTTTGCAGGTAAGTTGGTCACATCACACACACACATCCTGCTGCATGCCTAATAAAAAGCAGCTATTCTAGAAGGCTCTGCAGACGCGGGATCAAATCCCGCCGCATCCACTGCATCCCCTGCGTCCAACAAAGGGAGACCCAGGCACTGGGGTCAGGTACACGCGCTGGAGGGGGCGGGGCCGGCCGGTGGGCGGGGCGTGGAGAGGGGAGGCTTGCGATTGGGCGGGGCGTGAAGAAGGCCCGCCCATGGGTGGGGCGCGAGGGGGAGGGGACTTGCCGATTGGGCGGGGCGTGAAGGAGGGGGTTGGCCTGCCTTGGGCGGGGTGTGGAGAAGGAGGCTTGGCGATTGGGCGGGTCGTGAAAGGGACCTGCCAATGGGAGGAACGCGAAAGGGAAGGGGCCCTGCCATTGGGAGGTACGTGAAGAGAAGGACGCAGCATGGGGGGGGGGGGGTGTCGGAGGAGGTGGAGTGCGAGCCTGTGGGCGGGGCGTAGAGAGGCTATGGCGAATGGACGCGGGAAGGGCCTGCCAGTGGGAGGGGAGTGGACAGATTGAGAGTGGGCGGGGCGTAGGAGAGGTCTGCGCGGGTGGAGCGTAGGGATGGTGGCCGGACGCGCGGGGGTGGGTGGGAGGAGTGTGGTTGTGGGCGTGGCCTACGCGCGGGCAGGGTCGCGTGAGGCCTGTGGTGGCGTTCTCGGGGGCGTGGCCCTGGGCGGGGTCTGAGGTGGCCGGACGCTGCGGGGGGAGGAGCCTGGGAGTGGGCGGGCCCCCGCTCGGGGGCGGGGCCGGCGGCGGGCGGGAAGCGGGGCGGCGCGCGGGGCGGGGCCTGCGGCGGGCGGGCGCGGCGGCGTCGCCCATCCCCCGAGCGCGGCGGCGGGGCGGCCGGTCGGCGGCGGCCGGGGGACGATGCTGAGGGGCGGCGACGCGGGCCGGAGCGGGCCGGGGCGGCAGGGCAGGCGGCGCCCGCGGGGGTAGGGCTCGCGGGGCCGGGCGGGGCGCTCGGGCCGCGCTCGCTCGCCGCCTCGTCCCTGCGCGGCTGCGGAGAAGGCGGCGGCGGCGGCCCGGGAAGCAGACATGGCGGCGGACCTGAACCTGGAGTGGATCTGCTCCCTGCCCCGCTCCTGGACCTACGGGATCACCAGGGGCGGCCGCGTCTTCTTCATCAAGTGAGGCCCGGGGGTGCGGGGCGCGCGCGGGCCGGGGTGCGGGGCGCGGGGTGCGGGGCGCTCGCCCGCCGCTCACGCCCGGTCCCCGTGTTCCCCCCGCAGCGAGGAGGCCAAGAGCACCACCTGGCTGCACCCGGTCACCGGCGAGGCCGTGGTCACCGGACACCGGCGGCAGAGCACAGGTAAGGCGCGGGGGGGGGGACCCCGGCTCGGCGCCGCGCCGACACCGCCCGGGACGCGCCGGGGTCCCCCGCGGTCCCCACCCCCCCCAGCTCCTCGGAAGTCCCTCCTCCTCCCCCGCCCCGCACCCCGCGACCCCACCGCCGTGCGTGCGTGGCCGCCCGGGCGTCCCACCGCCTCCTTCCCGGGGTGTGTGGGGGGGGGGAGGGACCCGGGGGGACCCCGCCGACGCTCGGGGACCCGGAACCGGCTCGGGAGCAGCGCCGGGTGCGTGTCCTGCGCGCGGGAGCGGCCGCAGCCGCCGGCGATCCGGGTTCAGAACCTCCCCCCCTCCCGCCTCGGGCTTGCACAGACCGGGAGGGCGATCGGGGGGTGCGCGGTCCTCCCAGGGGTGATCGGGGGGCGCGCGGTCCTCCCAGAGGGCGATCGAGGGGCGCGCGGTGGGCGATCGAGAGGCGCGCGGTCCTCCCCGGGGTGATCGGGGGGCGTGCGGTCCTCCCAGAGGGCGATCGGGGGGGTGCGCGGTCCTCCCGGAGGGCGATCGGGGGGTGCGCGGTCCTCCTGGAGGGCGATCGGGGGGTGCGCGGTCCTCTCGGAGGGCGATCGAGGGGCGCACGGTCCTCCCGGGGGGCGATCGAGGGGCGCGCGGTCCTTCTGGGGTACGATCGAGGGGCGCACGGCGCTCCCGGGGGGGCGCGCGGTCCTCCTGGAGCGCGATTAGGGGGCGCACGGTCCTCCCGGGGGGCGATCGAGGGGCGCCCGGACCCTTCGGTGGGCGATTGAGGGGCGCACGGTCCTCCCGGGGGGCTCTCGGGGGGCGCACGGTCCTCCCGGGGGGCGATCGAGGGGCGCCCGGACCCTTCGGTGGGCGATTGAGGGGCGCAAGGTCCTCCCGGGGGGCTCTCGGGGGGCGCACGGTCCTCCCGGGGGGCGATCGGGGGGCGCGCGGTCCTCCCGGGGGGCGATCGGGGGGCGCACGGTACTCCCGGGGGGCGATCGAGGGGCGCCCGGACCTTTCGGTGGGCGATCGGGGGGCGCACGGTCCTCCCGCAGCGCGACCGGGGGTACCCCCCCTCCCATGTGGGCATGGGGGCCCAGTCGCCGGGGCGGCCGGGGACGGGGAGCGGCGGCTCGGGAAGCCTGCGGCAGGCCGGGCGCGCGGGGCCGGCCGGGCCGCTCCGCTCGGTCTTTGTTTACAAGCGCGGGGCTTGTTTGTCCGAGGTGAAGCACGTGTCCTCCGGCCGGCCTGGGGGGGGGGGCTGGGGGACTTGGGGGACCCCCCCACCCCGGGTGGGGAGACGGTGGCTTGCGGCCGGGTCCTGGCCCCCACCCCACCCCGCAGGAAGCGAGAGAGCGAGAGCGAGAGAGCCAGGGCGCCGGGCAGGCGGGGCCGCGGGCCTCGGGGTCCAACCCCGGAGGGGCGGAGGGGCCAGAGCGGGCCCGGGCTGGAGCGACCACCACCACCACCACCACCGCGGCAATCATGGTAATGGGTGGAGGAGGGGCTGCTTAGCAGGCCCAGTTAGGTGAAGTTAGGGGTAGGGGTCTGTGTGTGTGTCTGTGTGTGTGTGTGTGTGTCTGTCTGTGTGTCTGTGTCTGTCTGTGTATGTGTGTGTGCCTGTGTGTGTGTCTGTGTCTGTCTGTGTGTCTGTCTGTGTGTTAGGGTGCTTGTGACTAACCCATCCTTACGTTCTTCACCCGGTGCACCGGCAGGTGTGTTGCACGCGGACGCCTGTAGGGAATCACAGGTTTTATCTCCTTGAAGATAAACCACCCCCCTCCCCAGGAGCTCGGGCTTCCTCGGAGTCCTGGCCTAAGCCACTTGCTCTTCACCTCCCGGATGTCACCTCTTCCTGGGAAACTTCTTTTTTCCTTTCCTCTGATGTGGTTTTCTTCTTTTTTAATATTGTGGTTCGGTTCACGTGGACTCCCGCTTGGCCTTACTGACAAATCAGTGCCTTGCTTTCCTTAGTTATTTCTGTATGTTAATGTTGGGGCCTCTGATGAAATCCAGAGCCATGGCCATTGTAAGTTGGTCACAGATGCCACGGGGTCATTCCCAACCTGATTCGTTGGAAACTTCACTCAGGTCAGGTGTGCTGCCCGCTTGTTCCGGAGGTCTTCCTTTTCCACGGTCGCATTGATGGGGATTGTCTAGGTAGCAAGGACAGTACTTTTTGTGTTTGTGTGTGCACGCACACATGTCCCAGTCCTGGAGCTTGAACTCGGGACCTGGACTCTGTGCCTGATGTTTTGTTTCAGGCGCCCCTTCTTGCTTTTTGGTGGTTCACTGGAGATACCGGTCTCATGGACTTTGTGCACTGCCCAGGCTGGCTTTGAACCAAGATCTTAATATCTCAGCCTTCTGAATAGTGCTAGATTGCAGATCTCAGCCACCAACAGCCAGTGAGAATCTGTTCCTTCCAATCCAGGACTTGAACTCTGGACCTGGGCGCTTGCTGTCCTTGAGGCTCTTTGAGTTCAAGGCTAGCCCTCTACCACGTTGAGCTACAACCCCACTTCCAGTTTTCTGGTGGTTCCTTGGAGATCAGAGTCTCACACCTTTCTGTCAGGGCTGCCTTTGACCCACGATCCTCAGATCTCAGCCTCCCGAGTAGCTGGGATGACAGGCATGAGCCATTGGCACCTAGCTTTTTGGTAATTACTAATTGCCATTTTACCTGTATTTAGAGAACTTTTCACTTCCTTTTGGCACAATCCAGATTACAGTTCCTTCACACACTCTGATTAGTTTCTAATGGGTATATTCATGCCATTTCATCTCTTCATATTAGTGGGACTTTTCTGGTGACTTGAAATTTGAATTATCACCTTTCCCCAAAGGATATTATATCTGCTATTAATGTTTTGCCAGTCAGCACTTCCCCCCCTCCCCCCAGTGAGGAACCTACATGAATGAAAATAGTTGATCATGAAAACAAACAATTAAAATGGTTGGAAGCTTACTTTGCTGTCTTACGGAAGTCATACTAATTGTAACTTATATATTTGTTTTGTTGGTTTGTTTTTAGATTTGCCCACCGGTTGGGAAGAGGCGTACACTTTTGAAGGTGCAAGATACTATATCAAGTGAGTCTTTGTATTCTGATTTTTCTCCCCCCGGGTAATTCACATTCTGTGCTCAGTCTTTGGTTGCTGGTTTGTCTAGAGTTGATCATGATGTTTTAAGCTTTTTTTGTTTTGTTTTTAATCATGTCATGTTGATTATATCCTGTAGTTTTGAAATTTTGGGAGCAGAAAAGAATGGTATTCTTGGTTTTCCTGTTATTTTTTTTCCCACATATTAAGTGATTCATTGATTTGAAAATTAGATCATTTGTGGTCATGGTTAAGATTTTTTTTTTGGTGTTTTTTTTCTGATTTATTCCTGTTGGTAGAGTATTGTAGTCATTTGTCTTTAGCTATTTGCTACTTACGAGTTTTGATGGTTGGCTGGTTATGCTAAGAGATGCCACACACACACACACACACACACACACACACACACACACTCACACTCCTGTTACATTGCCATCATTTTTGTTTTTTTAAAAGTGAATCCGGTTCTTGTATATTTTAACCAGATCTGTTAATAAGTAGTGAAATTAAGTAAAGCTAGGTAAATGACACAAAACAAACATGGGATAGAGGCGTGGCTCAGTGGTAGAGTACCTGCTGAGCAAGTCTGAAACCCTGAGTTCAAAACCCCGGTAGTAGTGACTACTAGATAGTCCAATGTACACTTGAACTTTAGCTCATTGCTGCTCAATTCATCACTTTTTATTAGCAGGTTTATGTTTGCATGAAAGACTTTCCAGTTGAGGTCCAAAAAAACAGGGCTGTCAGTCCCAAACTTAAAACTAGTTTTCTAGAACACTGAACTAATTTTTATTCAACTTTAACTTGGGTTGAAGCTGAGTCTTGAAAGAGAATGTTTTCCTACAACATATGGTGGGTGATTTGGGTATTTCATTAGCCACAACAGATAGTCTGGGTAAAGGCGGGTTTATTTCATTGGGCTTTGTGAGTTATTTTAGCCAAGCGACATTTTTAACATCATGCCACATTTCCACTAAATGGTAATTACACGTGTGGCTCTCAAAAGTGTTTTAGAAGGGTATTTATCTAAAATGTCGGGGTATTTACAGGCAATTGAAATGCTGAAAGTAGGCGCCAGCAACACAGGCTTGAGACAGGAATGGAGAAATTTCACACTGAAGACGGCTGGATTGTCCTTTCATTGTTGTTACACTATTAATTTGGAGATCACGCTGTTGTTGGCGCTGTAGTGGCTGTTTTCAGCCTGCCGGAAAGCCTGTTTGGGTTGCTAGGGAAGGGAATGTTGTTTGCCCTTTTGGATAGTCCTGTGGGTACCATGAGAAAAGGCTGCTGTGTATATTTTGACTGCTGGATGGAAAGGGCTGGTAAGTCTAGATAGTGGTGAGCCTGGACCGGTGGCTCACACCTATCATCCTAGCTACTCCAGAGGCCGAGAGCTGAGGATCAGGATTTGAGGCCAGCCTGGGTAGAAAAGTCTGCTCTTCAATTCCCTGAGTTCAAGCCCCAGTACACACACACACACACACACACACACACACACACACACACACACACACACACACACACACACACACACACACACACACACGGTACTTTAATTCTCAATGCTACTTTAATTTCCATGATAATGTAAATCCCCTGGGCACTTCTTTGTTGCTAGCACAAAATGTCTTTCGGTCTAGGCTGAATGGCTGTGTTTTAATTGAAGGTTGTTGCAGTTTAATTGAATTTTGTTGTTTGTTTCACTGACCATTTCGATGAGATTTTTCTCTTACTTTGACTTGAACTCCAGCTGTATTTGAGTGCCATCCCTAAGAAACCCATCTCAGGAAAATGAGGACATTAAGTTGTCATTATACTTTAAAGATATCCTTAATGGGGCACCGGTGGCTCACGCTGGTCATCCTAGCTACTCAGGAGGCTGAGATCTGAGGATGGAGGTTCAAAGCCAGCCGGGCAACAATGAACCACCAGAAAACTGCGCTGTGGCCAATGTGGTAGAGCACTAGCCTTGGGCAAAAAAGCTCAGGACCAGTGCCTAGGCCCTGAGTTCAAGGCCCATGACGGACAAAAAAGAAAGAAAAAGAACAAAAAAGATACCCTTAGTGGGTTTTAATCATGTAGTATAAGAATAGCTAATAATGAAACTGGCCTTTAAAACCCCAGGGCCCAGACTCCCAAGAGTATGACATATCAGAACCAGCTACCCACCTCTACACATCAAGTAGGGAGAAAAGCCCGGCTGCTCTGGGCAGATGGCACTTACACAGTCTGCCATCTTCTGGGTACAGCCTTTAGGATGAGAGGAAGCATGGGGGGGGGGCAGGAAGTGAACTGTGAGCACAGGTGTGGTCCCAGGTGGTCCGACCTTTGTTTGAGAATTGGTGGGGCGGGGCCTAGTTACAATCAAAGCCTTTGATGCTCGGCCTGTGGTCTTATCTTCCTGGATTCCAAGATGGCAGTTGGGTGGCTGCTGGAGGGAAAGGGCGAGGAACAGAAATGCTGGGGGCCTGATTTCCTCCTGCTACAGCTGACTCGCCATCCAGGGGTCAGCACTCCCCGGGAAAGGAATAATAAACTGACACCACAGCGCGATCGCCTAGCATGCATGAGGCCCTGGGTTCGATTCCTCACTACCACATCCCCAGAAAAAGCCAGACGTGGAGGTCTGTGGTACAAGGGGTACAGCCTTGAGCAAAAGAAGCTCAGGGACCTGAGTTCAAGCCCCAGGACAGGCAAAATAATAATTCATCCTGAAACTGGGGCTGATTGAGAACTGTCTCCTTCACTAGGCCTTTGCTACATCAACTCACCATCGACAAGGCTGAGATTTGCTGAATAGCAGGTGTTACTTAGGCCTTCTGTGAGTTACCAGAAAGTCTCCTTTCCTTACAGATTGCTGAAATCCCTTAGTAAGACTGTAATATCTTAGAAACCTGGCCCTTCCACCGTGAGGAGCAATTGCAGATGCTTTATTGTTCTAATATAAGGTTATATTCTTCTTATCTTAAACTGGAGTGTCCAGGATGGCCGAAGTCATCTGGAGAGCTATTGTCTTCCTGTGTTTCCCCAGCAAATTAAAAAAGACTACTCCACGCAAAACAGGCCTGTGGAATTTATAGAACTTATCTTCTAGAGGAGACAGCCCAGTGAGAAAGAGCAGGAGCATGAGCTATATTTAGAATAGTCCCAGTAGAAGAAAAAGAGCGGCCTGAAGACGGGAAATGGTGAGTGTTAGTGGGTATTGTTCAGTTGTTTCTTGGATGCAGGAGATCATTGGTCAGATGGTAAGAAAAGGAAGTGATGGGCATCAGCCGCATAGACTTCCTTCCCATGGGAAGAAGGAGAGAAGATAGAAAAGCCAGGCACTGGTAGTGCATGCCTGTAATCCCAGCTACTCAGGAGGCTGAGATCTGAGGATCACAGTTGGAAGCCAGCCTGGGTAGGGAAAATCCTTGAGACTCTTAACCTCCAGTTCACACCAGAAAGCCAAACATGGAGCTGTGGCTTAAGTGGTAGAGAGCAAACATTGAGTATCATCCTAGCTACTCAGGAGGCTGAGATCTGAGGATCGAGGTTCAAAGCCCGCCCCAGCAGAAAAGTCCCCGTGAGACTCTTCTCTCCAATGAACCACTCAAAAACCAGAAGTGGCGCTGCGGCTCAAAATGGTTAGAGCGCTCGCCTTGAGCACAAAGTGCTCAGGGACAGTGCCCAGGCCCTGAGTTCAAGCCCCACAACGGACAAAAATAGAAAAAAAGACAACAGAGCCCTTCTGTGCCCTGAATCGGTTGCTGTCAGAGCTGGTTTCTGCTTTGCCTTTCAAGAGGGCAGTACCCTGAATTCTAACTAAATATTCCTCTTGGGGGTGGCAGGCGGGGGAGGGGGACCCTGGTGGTTCAAAATGGCAAGCTGTCGCAAAGAAATCACCAGTGGAGGCTACGTGGGAATTAAGGCTCAGTATCCATGAGGGGGAAGGGAGAGAAAGTCTTTAGGGCTAAGCCTGAAGCCACAGGAGCTCTGTTTTCACATTTCTACATCTTCTACGTCCCATCGTCTTTTGTGAATTTGTTTGGATTTTATTCTCTGGGAATGTACAGTTATTCTAGGAAATGATGGAAAACTACTCAGTGCCAAGAAGACAATGGAATCTATAAGCCGCTTAGCTTCCCTTCAGGTTGGACTGCTGCTCTCTCTCTCTCTCTCTCTAAGCCTGGTAGGGAGCTGGAGTGGTGTGTGTTGGTGTGTGTGGCTGTTTGCTGTGGCTATGTTTCCTTGTAAGGTGCGTGTATGAACATCTTCCCCACAGAGCCTGGTGATGCTAAGAATAACTCGAGCTAAGTCACCCAAGCCCTGATCAGAGTCCTAGAGATTTCAGTTAGATTCCCAGCGTATACACTTATGAACACCACTTCTTTTCTGGCCAGTCCTGGGCGCTGTCCCTGAGCTTCTTTCGCTCAAGACTAGCTCTCAACCACTTGAGCCACTGCCCCTTCTGGTTTTCTGGTGGTTCCTTGGAGATCAGAGTCTCACAGACTTTCCTGCCCAGGCTGGCTTTGAACCATGATCCTTAGATCTCAGCCTCCTGAGTAGCTAGGGTGACAGGCATGAGCCACTGATGCCCACCCCATATTACTTTTTAAGACTATGGTAGTTCAGGGGAAATGTTAAGAATTGATACCAGTGTTTGTAACTTACAAAGTGGAATTTTATTTTTTCCCAGTCCTGGGGCTTGAACTCAGGGCCTGGACGCTGTCCCTGAGCTTCTTTGGCTCAAGGCTAGCGCTCTACCACTTGAGCCACAGCGCCACTTCTGGCTTTTTCTGTGTATGTGTACTGAGGAATCACATGCAGCCCTTCATGCAGGCTAAGCGAGCACTCTACCACTGAGCCACCTGCCCAGCCCAAAGTGGAGCTTTACATACCCCATTGTCTCACTGGAAATCCAATCCTAACCCAGAAAGTACAGAGATAATCTTAGAGACTTGAAAGTTACAGGCTTCTCTTGCTCCACTTTGAAAATGGGGCTTTAA